TATATATTATACTAGTTTATTTTTAGTAATTTTTAAACCTTATTTATAATTTTAAAAGAAGAAACTACCATTAATTGAACAGAATAAGGAGGAGAATTGACAGATGTCTGTTGAATTACGCTGCCTCGAATTAATTTACTTATAGGGCAAAATTTCTGAAGTGGACCACCCTCAAAAAAAGTTCTGGGATTGATTTGGTACTTTGGTAATTTGTTCTCCTATATGAGAGTAATTGCTAATTTGTTTAAACAAATTATTATTGTTTATTTACAACTTTTTATCTAATTGAGCTAAAGAGTTGCGATTTTTTCTCAATTGTACATTTTATTTTTTTTGTGAGGTAAGATTTAATGTAAGACTTAATTATCGAGTAAAAATTGAGAACAATAAACTTATTATTATAAAAATGTTAAGTACAAAAATTTTTATTTACATCATTGATATTACTACTACGATAGCTTCAAATTTAAAATAACAATTTGTTTAAACAATTGGTCAAATTGTAATTTTTAGATTTATCAAAAAAAAATTCCAGTTTGTCGTTGGATTAAAAAATAGGTATCTACAATATAATTTTTTAACTCTTGATATAAAAAATAAATATTTTCGTTCAAGTAGGTTAATTTAAATTATGCTAATCGTAATATAAAATAATATTGTCCATTTTAATGTCCTGGAAAAATAAAGCATCTGTACTGTACTGTCGTGGAATTTTAAATCATATTTTCAGTAGACACCCTGAATTTGTTTAAAAGAAAACTCGATTTATTGCAGTTCTAGTTCTGATAAGTATTATAATTTACCAACTGAGCTGAATGATATTATTCGCGAAAAAGGGAGGTCGTAAAAATGTTTTTTTTATTAAGGAAAAAATAAAAAATTTCTAGATTACGTTAAACTCCTTGCAGTAAAAAGAGAATTTAAAAAAGAAATATAACGAAAAAAATTAATTGTAAGTACACAAACTGTCAGCAATCTTGCAATAATCTTACAGAAAGCATGACACAATATTGTAAGAAGATTACAGAGCAACATTAATGGAAGTTCACATGTCAAGATTGGTGTAACTAGACATTTTGAGCTTCAACAATCCTACTGCAAAATGGGAAGATAATAAAAAAGAGAAATGTTTATAATGTACATGATTTTAACTTTACAATAATTTTAGAAACTCTTTAATGTAAAAAAATTTTTTTTGAACAGCAAATAAAGCAAGGGCGCGCGACAAAATGGCCGGCTGTCAAATGAAACACGATTGCAATTTTCTTAATAAATAAATTAGCGAGCGTACTTTCGACCGTATATAAAGAAAAATAGTATACATTACACGGGCAGAAATTCGAAAGCCCTAAACTACGCGATGATGCCCTCGGCTTTGCCTCGGGCATCATTTCGCGCAGTGCAGAAATTTCGAACTTTCTGCCCGTCCAACGGGCAAGAGTAGTTGGAGCAAGACCAACCAAGAAGGGAGACCTCCTCATTAGGATAGGAGGCTCCTCAGACAAGAACGGGTTTACTGAGGAAGTGAAAAGAGTGGTGGGTGACTTGGGTAAGGTGCAGAACGCGGACCGTAAGGTTACTATGGCGATCCGCTACCTGGACTGCCTTACCCAAGAGGACGAGGTGCAGGAGGCACTATCAGCTCTTATGCAGGAACCGATAGGAAGCAAAAAGGTGACGGTCCTTGGACCTAACAAGCGGGGGATAAAATTCACAGTTGTTATCACCGATCAGGATCAGTCTGAGAAGCTGGAGGTGCTCGGACGCATAAAGGCCCGATCATAAGGAGGTTTATGATAATGAGGTGTCACCGATGCCTTGGCTATGGTCACCTAGCAAGAGAATGCAACACGACTGATAGATCGACTGCGTGCTTAAGGTGCCGAGCAGTGGATCACAAGGTCGTGGATTCTAAGAGGAACGCTACTTGCTTCTTGTGCATTGGTGGTGAATATTAAAAAAACATTCTGATTCAGGGCTTAAATTACTGTCGAAAACTAGATGGTCTTATCATGATGATGCTACTGCATGTCTGTTTAATAATTATTTAGAGATATATAACGCCCTTTCAGAAATCGTAGAGTACAGTGATGAGAGGCCTGAAACTCGATTTCAGGCTAAAAATCTACAAAAGCAATTTCAAAAATCAGAAACGACTTCTATGACCGTTTTTTGGCATGAAGTTCTTGATCGGTTTAATAAAACTAACAAATTCTTGCAAGCAGTTGAGTTAGACTTGTCGACAGCTAACAATATGTTGAAATCCTTAATTGAATTTGCGGAATCAATACGAGACAAATTTACAGAATTTAAAGAAAAGGGACTGAATTTACAAACATACGTTTGCAGTCAGTATCACGATAAAAAAAAGCATATTCAAAAATCTGAATGTCCAACAGGTAGAGACAAATTTAAAAATGACAGCTTTCTTGTTATAGTGGACAAACTTATAGCTGAATTGAAGAAAAGAAGTAATGCTTACAACGGAATTATAGAAATGTTTAATTTTCTAATGAACCTAAGAAACATTGATGATTTTGATAAAATAAAAAACAATGCAAATGAACTTATAGAGTTTTATCCCACAGATTTGGATCCCACTACTTAGTGAATTGGAACAATTTATTCCTTTTTTAAATTGGAGCATAACAATGAAAAAAATTGCCTGTTACAAAAATAATAAAATGGATGGTGAATTCGGATATAACTTCAATTTTTCCAAATGTTTTTATTGCATTTAGAATTTTCTTGTCCATTTCAGTTACCAATTGTGAAGCTGAAAGATCCTTTTCAAGACTTTCTAGAATAAAGTCTGGACGTAGGTCTACAATGACCGAAAACCATTTGGTAGGACTAAGTTTATTAGCCATAGAAAAAGATCTTCTTAGAGATTTGTCATTTGATGATATAATCGTAGATTTCGCAAAGCAAAAGGCGCGGAAAAAAAGTGCAGTATTTAAACTTGAGATAACTTAATGTAGGTATATACAAGTTAATGTTTCAACATTTAAAAATAAAATTAAAATAAGTTTGTGTCTTTATATTTTATTTTAATTGACGAGGCAAAATAAAACATTCACGAAAAGTAAATAAAATTCAAGTGGCATAGAGCCTCCAAAATTGTTATGCCCTGGGCCTCAATTTGCCTTAATCCGGCATAACATTACATTCATAACTCGAAAATCAAGTTTTATGCAAATTCATGAGTTCTAAAAAAAACTGTAGGGTGTTGTGGGGTAATGTGCAACGTTTTTTTTCGTTGGACGAAAAACATGTCAAATAATTAAAGTTTCAAATATTTCAAAATTGAATGACTTAGAGGCATCATAATAGAATATTTCTGCATTATTAGATTTTCAGAATTTAAAATTTTTCCTACAAATTTTTGCTTTTTCAAAAACGTCTGTTTTTGCATTTTCCTAAAAAGTTGGGGTGATGTGCAACACCAGTAAAATTCAGGTATGTAATGCATAAATATCGATGAAAATCTCTTTAATCACCTACTAATTTTATGCTTTTTCAATGCAAACTAATCGAAATCTGACAAAAAATAATTTACTAAGGTATAGTTGACCTCTAAAAAGTGGAGATTTCACCATAGAAAAAAAAATTTTTTTGTTTAATTTTTTATTTATTCATAACTGAATAAGGAATATAATTAAAGGAAAATAACTAAGAATTTTTTATTAAATCGCAGTGAATCGCAGTTACGGCACGAAAAAAGTAGTTACGTCCACCCCAAAAAAAAAGTGTTGCACATCACCCCAAATACGATATTTTGCGAAAAATGATTTGTACGCAATAGAATGCAATGGAAACACAAAATATAAACAGATATTTAAAAACACTTAAAAAACCATCAATAAACACATTCTTATCTACAAAATAAATTAAAACCCTTCACGAAACGTCTAGAGATGTAAAGCGCGAGAAATATTTCTTTTCCGAGAAATTTAAGTCAACCTACGTACAGCGAACCTAGCTGCGAGCTGTCTCGTGAGTTTTATATAAAAAATAAGCTAATGAGGACACAAACAAATGGCAATACTTGGCTCTGTTTAGGGAACGTTCATAAACTACGTAGCATGTTAAGGGGGGGTTCGGCAAAAGTCTATGATAGTCTACGTGGGGGGAGATAGTCTCTTACTACGTAGTTAATACATATAAGCTAAAATTAATTTTGCAAACTCACTACTTGTTGCCATTGTTAAATGTTGCTATATGCCAAGAATAAAATATTTTATTCAGAATATTTGACATTGTTTTGAATTTAATTTTTAATTGTTTTTAATGCGAATATAGTTAAATATGCAGTTTGAAAAAAACTACGTAACACACGAGGGGGGGGGGTTCAGCAAAAGTCTACGTTAATCTACGCAGGGGAAGGGGGGTCAAAAAATGACAAAAATAGGTCTACGTAGTTTATGAACGCTCCCTTAATATCGAACTGTAGATCAAAAATCGGCGGTGTTGCATATCCCCCTATGTTTTAAATCACCCCACATCACCCTATATTTTTAAAAGTCTAACGTGTTTTTGTAGTTACCAAAGTTCTGATATGATGAAGGAGAATAGACATTAGATTTCTGTTTAGGGCACGAAATCCACGTGGGGTAGGCATATAGGCCTACGATTTTGGTTCCGATAAGTTCAACTTATTAAGAACCTACTGCTGCTACGGATCTGTCTTTTAATATTAATTAAGCAACATTTTATAAGTTACTTAATTTATAGTGTACTTTAATGAAACTATTTTAATTAAAATACTTTAAAGAATGTACTCATAGAAAAAGATTGTTAAAAATCATAAGTTTTTTTGACGTTTCGACCCATGTGAACCCTTATTACGTCTTTAGAATGTCCTTAGGACATTCATGTTCGTTTATAGAACGTTCTAAAGTTATCCTGTGTACGAGTATTCATAGTACGATCATTTTGTATGAACTGAAAACAATAATATCTCTGATAAACATGATAAATATTATTAATCCTTCTTTTAGTTAGCGGATGATGTAAATGTTGGACGACATTACATTGCTACGAGAAGAATTGTAGCTGGCGACATAATATTGCAAAACGAAATGCCTATTGTTGCTGGACCCCTTCAAGGAACTTTACCTCTATGCTTAAATTGTTATGTAATTCTTAATGCTGAAAGTGCCAAACCATGCTACAAATGTGGATGGCCACTGTGTGCTAATTGTGAAGAACATGGTCCAGAATGTAACTTTACAATAAAGCACAAAGGTAGTAAAGTAAGTACCTTTATTCCTCAAATTTATCGCAATTTTTAAAATATATACTTGACCAAGGCAAAGTAACTAATATTTGTAATATCTCTGATAAATAATATTGATTCATTTTCAGATCTCAATTACAGATTTTGATTATCCACATCCAACGTATAAGTGTGTGACTGTTATAAGAGCTATGTGTTTAAAGGAATCTAACTCTGAAGCGTATGCAAAACTCTTAAACTTGGAAGACCACTGTACAGAATCGAACAGCAATGATCAGTTTAATTTCGACGAATGTACTGACATTTCAACGTTTATAAAACGAGTTTTTAAAACAACTGATTTTACTGAAACTGAAATTATGAAAATAGCTGGCATTTTAAAGGTTTGTTTTTCTTATGATTAATTTTTATAGCAATGTAAAAAAAATTCCCAAGTTATAATCAGTGGTTTTAGTTACCTTCAATTCACGGTAACGAAGAAAGTAAAATAAAAAAAATTATATATGATACCAGCCCGAAGTTTAATCTGATTAAAAAGGCTATGGATCTCAAACAGAATGGGTTCAGAAAAAGCAGAAGCATTCTTGACCGTATTTTTAAAAATATTTTAATGGATTTTTATAATTTCTCGACTACAATTATTCGAACAAGCGAAGGGACTACTGAAGAAATTCGTGGTAAACAGGGTGTACTTCAAGGCGAAGTTCTTAGTCCCCTTAAATGTATTTTGCTTATTTCTGATATCGAGGATTTTTTGTCAAACAGGGTTGTAGAAGACCCTCAATTAATAATAAGGAGATTTTAATGTTGAGCTACGCCGATGACTTTGTCTTACTGCTCTGCGATTAGAGTCTTTGTGACTATATTGTTCTCATAATAGGTAATCTTACGGTAAATGTCAAGAATACAAATTAAACGCATAGAAGTTATTGACGTATACACCTATCTAGGTGTTACTTTAACGAGTAGTTCTTCTTTTTACCCTTATGTAAGTTTTTTTCAGAGCCTGTCATTGAGCATTCTTTTTTACTCTGTTCCAATGTGGGGTCTTAATTATTATTGGACCGGTTGAAAGGCGTTCAGCTATCCTTTTATAAAAGTCTCTTGTCCCTACCGAGGTGTACACCGAACTATGCTATTAGTTTGGATTAGGCATGATTGATTTAACTCGCAGGTCTATGTCACCAGGTAGACCAACCTACATAGACCCTACATACTGGCGACTTTAATTTTTATTTAGATCCTTAAGTCACCATAAAATCTGATCGCTTACAGACAATTCTTTTTTTCCTGGGCACGCCAGTAAAAGTACAAATACAATATCCAACAAATCATATTAGAATAATATATGAATAGGATTAAAATAAATAACATTATCGTCTTAAAAATTGTTCTTAATCTTTCTCAAATGAAAAATTCAGGTTGTTTGTTGTATCTATAAAACAATTCATTCTTTTCTTTCTTTATGTGTATGAAATACTTCTTCTTTAAAATTAACAATGGTAAACAGTGTTCCTATTATCATCTCATTTAAATGTTATATACTAGATATAAATTTTCAGACCTTATCTGTTAGTAAAAAAAAATTACTGTAAATCTTATGTTTATGTAAAATAAGTTACATGAACTAAATAAAATATTTATAACTGAATAAAAAATATTAAAATTCCACATAGCGTAAAACAATAGCAAAACAATAATTACTTTAACTTTATTAAAGAAATGTACAGATGTAAACATACATATATTTAAATATTTTTTTCTTTTATGTCGATATAAGTTTTTTTGTAAAACCGAAAGAACAGCCAAAAGTTGAAAAGTACATTGAACACCATTATAATTATCATTAGTTTTGACAATTCACATTCTTTTATTAAACCACCTATTACTAATTGTAGAATTATAATAATAAATTGTCCCTGAAACAATAGAAAGAATTAGTTAAGTATATCTTTTACAGCAAAGTAATATTAATTAATAAATAAAAAGTTTAGCCTTTTGGACTAACTATAAGTGTACGTTGTATTGATATGTCTGTCGGATTCAATTAGACAAATGTCTACCCAAAAGGGTAGTCATTTGGTAAATGGATTTACAAGTCTGTTACACGGAAAAATGTTTGGGACAGTATCTGTACCTTTTGGTGCATTGGTTATCCCTGTCTAAAAATGTTACTATTCAATTCACTTCACACTTATTATTTCCTATTGTTTTTATATGAAGTGAAGTTAATTGTTGGATAAATTTTTTAAAAGGTATAGCATGTGCACCTTACATTTTTTTCCGTGTAATAATACAGAATTTGATAGAAAATATGGTTGGAACTTTTACAAATAAAGCTATAAATAATTAATAATTAACTGAAATGTGTAAAGATTTCATTGAGATTTTATAGCAATGTTATTTTTAATATATTCTTTATGAAAACGTTGTAAATTAGGAAAACATATTTTATATTGACAAAAGAATATAAAAATATTTATTTATACACTCGTTTTTTGCTCCAACACCAGCGTTACAAGTGTCCCCGAAGAAATTCTTCTTACAAGCTGCATCCCAATTTTACCAAGTTTTGCGTCTACAGAACGTCTTTAAATTAGAAGTACTCGCATTTGACAGGACCACCCGTCTAATGGGTTTTCTCGTCACATGAGATGGAAACTGTAGAATACGAATACTTCTAGTGAACGCCGCCTACGGACCGCAAATAGAGAGAATATGAAAATCTAGGGAAATTTGGAATAAGAATATTAATTGTATCTACTAATGAGACTAATTTTTCTTTATTACAATTTTCATTAACCCATTAAGTCCCATGAAGAAACCAGCCATTGTATTAAAATACTAACAATTGGAAAAATAAGAATGTTTTGTATGAATAATTTTTTTCTCTAAGTCGTATTTTGTTTATAAAATTGTTATAAACAAATTATGATGGATAAAGGGTGTTTCATTCCAAGCATAAACAAATGGATTTTAAGTAAAACTAACAATTGGATTCATCGGAAGATTGAAAAAAAAGATACACCTGTTTTTTTGTATTTAATTTCCAATTGTTTAACAACAATTGTTTAAACAAAGTAATAAAATTTTTTTAAAAATTTTAAACTGATAAAGCTAATCGATTCTACGTGAAGAAATAAGAATGAATTATATAGGTCATTTTTTTCCAAGTCGTATTTTGTTTCTAAAATTGTTATAAACAAATTATGCTAGATAATGGGTGTTTCATCCCAAGCATAAACAAATGGATTATAAATAAAACTAACAATTGGATTCATAGGCAAATTGAAAAAAAGATATACCTGTTTTTTCATTTTAATTTCCAATTATTTGACAATAATTGTTTAAACAAATTAATAAAAATTTAAAAATATTTAAAAACAGTTAACGCTAATCGATTCAATTTGGAAAAATAAGAATGTTTTGTGATGATTATATCATTTCTTCCATTTGCCTATAAATTTAATTGTTAGTTTTACTTTTACCAACATAATTTGGTTGTAACAATATTATAAACAAAATACGACTTAGAGTAAAAAAATACAGATACAAAACTTTCTTGTTTTTCCAAATTTAATCGATTAGCCTTATCAGTTTTAAAATTTATTAAAATTTTTATTAGTTTGTTTAAACAATTGTTGCTAAACCATTTGAAATTAAAAACAAAAAAACAGGAGTATCTTTTTTTTCAATCTTCCGATGAATCCAATTGTTAGTTTTACTTAAAATCCATTTGTTAATGCTTGGAATGAAACACCCTTTATCCAGCATAATTTGTTTACAACAATCTTATAAACAAAATACGACTTAGAGTAAAAAAAGAAACATACAGAACTTTCTTATTTTTCGAAATTGAATCGATTAGCTTTATCAGTTTAAAATTTTTAAAAAAATTTTATTACTTTGTTTAAACAATTGTTGTTAAACAATTGGAAATTAAATACAAAAAAAACAGGTGTATCTTTTTTTTCAATCTTCCGATGAATCCAATTGTTAGTTTTACTTAAAATCCATTTGTTAATGCTTGGAATGAAACACCCTTTATCCAGCATAATTTGTTTATAACAATTTTATAAACAAAATACGACTTAGAGAAAAAAACTACCCATACAAAACATTCTTATTTTTCCACTTAGAATCGATAAGCGTATACAGTTTTAAAAAAATTTACAATTTTCATTAATTGGTTTAAACAATTGTTGTTAAACAATTTGAAATTAAAAACAAAAAAATAGGTATATCTTTTTTTTCATTTGCCTATGAATCCAATTGTTAGTTTTTTAATACAATGGTTGGTTTCTTCATGGGACTTAATTGGTTAATTCTTGTCAAAATTATATTCCTGTTATGACAACGAATCGATTCATGTATATCTTAATTTTATCTTAATACTTTAAAATAATAATTCTAGAATAAAAAAATAAGCAATCGGTATATATTTGTCCTACAATCATTGTATTGAGGAAGCTAAATATAAATCTGCCGTTGGGGACTTTTCATATTTTCTATTTTTTTCTAATGCTAAAATAGAAAATGTTGTTGGTAAAGTAGATATTTTATTCTGTCTATTATCAGACTTATAGAGCCATTTACCAAATGTCTACAAACGTGGCAAATCGAATCCGCCAGGGATCACACAATATAATAATAGTTTTACATTCTTTAACCAATATAAATTAGTTTTTCTTTAATTTATAACGTTTTCACAAGGAAATATGAAAATAACATTGCTATAAAATCTCAATAAAATCTTTGCACATTTCAGGTAATTATTAATTACACTGGGTTACAAAAAAATGATCATATCGTATTTATTTCAAATTTCCTGTGTTTATTAAAAGCTAAGGTAGCACTTTTTGAGGCAGCGTAACAAGAAAACGCAACATGATAAAAATCTCTACGAGAGCTTAAATAAAAGCTTAAACCTTTAACTTTAAAGCTCAGAACTGAAAAGTACTTTAATAATCACTAAAAACCTGCAGTCGCTATGTGAAATTATCAAAAAAGCTGGGCTATGTAACACTTGATAAAAATCGATTTGCCTAACCGGATTCGGTTGCAATTTGTTACTTGAACTTTTTTGAGGTTGCTAATGACGAATTGGAACTAAGATTCAAACATTTCAAAATGACGGATTTAAAATAACGAATTCACTCAATTTTTCAAAACATGCGTTGACAATTTTTAAAAACATGATAGAAATCTCTACGAGAGCTTAAATAAAAACTTAAACTTTTAACTTTGAGGCTCAGAACAGAAAAGTACTTTAATAATCACTGAAAACCTGCAGTCGCTTTCTGAAATTATCAAAAAAGCTGTTAGGTAGCACTTGGTAAAAATCGATTTCCCTAACCGGACTCGGTTACAACTTGTTACTTTTGTCAGGTTGCTAATGACAAATTAGAACGTAGCTTTTAAAAATTTTTTAAATGGCGAACTCAATTTTTAAAAATTGTCAACGCAAGTTTTGAAAAATTGAGTGAATTTGTTATTTTATATCCGTCTTTTTGAAATTTTTGAATCTAAGTTCCAATTCGTCATTAGCAACCTCAAAAAAGCTCAAGTAACAAATTGCAACCGAATCCGGTTAGGGAAATCGATTTTTATCAAGTGCTACCTAACCCAGCTTTTTTGATAATTTCAGATAGCGACTGCAGGTTTTCAGTGATTATTAAAGTACTTTTCAGTTCTGAGCCTTAAAGTTGAAGGTTTAAGACTTCTTTTGTCAAAGTCTTAAAGACGTATTTTGAACAAGTGTGCGTAGGGCACAATAAGGTTGAAAGCAAGATTTTACTATATGGCAAAATTTTTGGACTATCGTCTGAACTATGCATAGTAATTTAAATGCATCTTAACCTACAGATAGCAGATACATTACTTTTGGGTGAGATGTTTTGTGAAACCTTAGTAATATTGTTTTCTTAAACGTGGGGCACATATCGTCAGAGCTACTGTAATACCGCGTATCTGCAAATTCCTTAAAGGTTTTTAAGGATATTAAAGAATTTTAAGTGATTGATTCGAGTATAATGAAAGTTAAAGGTGACCACTAACGATGATATAAAAAGATTATTCTCTGAGATATTAAACCTGAAATTAACAATAGTAAAAAAAACTTGATATTGTGTAGCGGATTTTTTTTTGATCGGTAAAACTTGGAAATGAAAAATTAAAAAATATTAGAAGATTGTGAAGAAATGAAAAGTGTCCACAGTTAGTAAGTGAAAATGTTAAACTAAATAGTAGACTGGAACGAGCTGAAAGGACAATCTTTTTTCTGCAGAAAGCAGAAAGAGACAAAAACATTGTTATTTTTAATGCAAAGGAATCTGAATAGGAAAATTTGCAAAATAAGGTTAAAGTGATTTTTACTATAGCATATTTGAAAATTAAAAAATGTTCGACTTGTTAAAAGATTAGGTGTTGTTAAGAAAGAGGCAAACCTCATACTAAAGAAAAACAGGAAGACTATATGTCAGACAATAGTGATTCAAAACCATACACTACTTTAAGGACCACAAACCGAAATAGGATAAAACCGTTGGAGTTACAAAATTCTCCCAAAAAAATCTTCTAGAAACTAATTTTTTAGTCCATTTAAGGATTTTATTTTGAGAGGAAAAAGTAACATTAATGTCGCCTGAAATTCCAAAAATGAAGCTCTAGTGAGGATAATTTTTTGGAACTTTAGAGGTCCCAGGAACACTACATATCTTCTAGAAATATTTTCGAGAACGGATATTATTTGTATCTCGGAGACTGTCCAAGTGTCACTTCCAAAATGTATTGCCTAAATGGAATTCTCTAGAAGGAAATTGTTTGGTCACCGTTGCGGTGACCTTGAATATTCAGTAAAAAATCTGTCCTTCCCGTCCGTAAAGGGTTAGGATCATCGCTAGCAAATAATAATTTTTCAAGTGATGTAATTTAAGTTCATTAAAAATTAATGTTAAGTCATTTGAAAATGACATCTAGAGTGTTCTGGTTCATATGCACTGATAAATAAATTTTAAGAGTTTTGAAATTAAATTTTAATAATTGTTGTCTCTATTGTTTTATAATGATTGTCTGATTTTTAATTTATTTTGTATAAAATTTAATTAGTTTGGATTTCTTTGTTTGTCCCAAAACATCACATTCCAGGGTTGTAATATATAAACTATTGAAATCATTTCTAGTATACTTGAATGATTCGAATGAAAATTGTTTAATCTTATATCAGTATATTTAAAAAATTAACATTTACCATTTGTATGAGTGTCAGGTAACGTTTGAAGGGAATTATTTTTTGTTTAATTGGACCTTCAAAATTACTAAGAAAGTAGTAAAAGTACATTAAAACATGAACAGCACAATTCAACATTGGAATAAGTAAAGCTGATTCGGTGCCAAAATACCTTGTAAAAAACATGCCAATTAAAAAAGTACTTATATGATGGTACAAATGTAAAAATGTAACTTGATTATTTTTCTTTCGCAGTATATATGTCAATGTTTCACTGAGATCAAATAGTTTTAACCATATGCCAAAATAACCACATTTTGCTATCTGAAATCATAATAATAATTACATTTATTAATATCTACTTATATATTACAATATTAGAGACCGAAAGGCTGGGTAAAGTCCATCTAGTGACATAATTTTTCAATGATTTGAGCTTAATGTTACATATAAATAATAAATTATGTTAAGATATGAAGAATTTATCAAAACCCGATACAAAACAATTATTGTCAAAAACTTCAATGATTTTAGACTTTTTTTTAATATTTAAATAGGAAATCATTACTGAGTGGAAAACACCCAGCCTTACGATCAGTATTTTGATTTTTAACCTTATGCTTGCAGGGTTAAGCACAGAAAATATAAATTGTCTTAACAACGTAGAATATATATTATTGTTATACTCATATACTTATCGCAACAGTTTTTGGGAATAATTCGGGTGGTTAGGTTAAGCTTCCTAAGCCCTGTTGAGTAGGTTTGTAAAATTCTTCTACATAATACTTCGAGTACAGTGTCTTTTTTTTAAATTTAAAATGGTGGATCTAATATGATAGATTTGTAAAAATTCATCTAATTCATTTATAACTCGTTACTCAGGCTTATTGGGGTCGCCGATTACGAGTCTGGTATCAACTTTTCAAAATTAAAAATGTCGGTTCCAATATGGCTGATAGCAACCGAAATTTTATCGGTTTCCACTTTTCTGTATTCTTCTAAAAAAATACGGTTTCGGTATTTCTGTTACGGTTTTTTTCCAAAGAATTAAGGTTCCTGTATTTGGGTTTCGGTTTTTAATGTGAAAAATTTCGGTTACGGTTTCTTGTTTTCGGTTTCTTAAAAATGTCGGTTTTTAGGTCGGTTATAGGTTTCGATTTTTCGGCTGTTTTCCCCGGAAGTTATATGAATGAAAATATTTGTGTGCATTTTAATTATTTAGAACGAAATATGTGTATTAATTATACTCATAATTAATTTAAGAAATTTTATATTTCATGCACATTAAAACTCTTAACAGTTGAACAAAATGAAGAATTTTTAAAACAAAAATAAATAGATTATTATTATAGATTTATTTCTCAATGTACATCTTTTTGTATTTTTACATATTTGACAGCCCATACTTTTACTTATAATAACTTAAGAACTAGACATAATACATATAAAAATTATATAAACTTCAACAGTTCTAAAAAATTACATCACTGTTTTTTAAAAATCTCCTCTCTTGTTCTTTGGCTTGTGCTTCGAAAAATTTCGCGTATTTGCAGAGGCCCGGGATCGGTTTTCCTTTTAGGGTGCTACAAAGGTATCCCATGAACCCTTCTTCGTTATTTTTATCCAACCATTCGTTCACTTCTATAACCCATTTTGAATCAATTTTGGTTCTGGCCTCTCTGCACAGCCAAATGTGTTCCAGATTTTCTTCTTCTTCCTCACAAAAACGACAATCTACATTTTTGAATCCTTTTTTCCCTGCTCTTCCAACATTTCCACATCGAATTCTTGTCCACTGGATTTTTTCGGATATCCCTACGTCTTTAACTTTCCAATAGAATTCTCCTCCTTCTGGTAATTTCCATCTGTCATACAGACTGCAGTACGATGACTTATTGACCCTCTTGTTGTCTTCCTCTCTCTCATTTTCTTTAAGCTTCTTTTTTGCATTTTCGGTTTCCTTCTTTATTTCGTTTTCCTTTTCTGTTCCTATCCAATTTAAGATCCTTAAAATTCCCAGATCTTTCAGTGTTTTTTTGAAGCTTTTACCCCATACTGACGGTTTATTATTCTTTATTGCTCTTACTTTCTCTTTAAGACAAATTTTCGGAAGTCTGTAATTCTCCATTTGCGCTATCTTCGATACATATTTCAGGGCTCTTTCTTTTGTTTCTATTTCTATGCTGGTTCTTATCAAGTCCCATGCTCATTTTAACATATCTAGATTGGGCTCTTTCAAGATCGTCCTTTCTCTTTAGTCCCCATATTTCGACCCCGTAGAGGCCTCCCGATTTTGCCAAAATGTCCATAAGATATAATCTTCTTTTCAAACCGCCAATTCTAGCCCTTGTCATGATTCCCCACGCCGTGTTTGTTGCCTTCCGCAATTTTCCAGTCATAATTTGTACGTGTTTAGTATATATTCCTCTCGTGCTGAACCAGAACCCCTTAGTACTTGAAGTGATCAACTTTCTCAACTTTTTTTCCTGTTATTTTCAAATCCATCTCTTTTCCTTTTCTGCCCTTATTTCTAAATATCATTAATTTGGTTTTGTTAACGTTTATTTCTAATCTGTTATTGTATACGTAAGTCTGTAGTCTGTTGATCATTACCTTCATATCCTCTGGAAAGTCCTCTATCACTGCTAAATCATCGGCAAATTTTAGAGCAAAAATTTTTGTTTTCCCTATTACTGTCCCTCTAATCTTCTTTTTTCTCCAGATTTCAACCATATCGTCTATAAAAATGTTGAATAGAGCAGAGCTTAGCGGACAGCCCTGTCTTACACCCCTGTTAGTTACAAAGCTATCCGTCAATCCTTCTGGAGTAATTACTTGATTAACAGTTTTAATGTAGATTCGTTTGATCATGTTAAGCATTCTTCCTTTTATTCCATTTTTTTCTAATTTGCTAAATAATAGTTCCCGGTCCACTGTGTCGAATGCTTAGGAAAATCTACGAAGGTGACATGTAATTTTCCTTCTTTTCTTTTTAGACTGTTGTTTATTAGCGTATTCAGGACGAATATGTGATCTCTCGTGGATCTTTTTTTTCTAAACCCCGCTTGTGATTCCCTGTATCGGTTTCCTGATTCCATCCAGTTTCCTATGCGTTCGGCCATAATTGCAGTGAGTATTTTGTATCCAGTATCCAGCAATGAAACTCCTCTATACTTTCCTGTGCCGTTTTCTTCTCCACCCTTGTAAATTGGCGATATATTAGCTTTTTCCCATCTGTTTGCTATCTGTCCACTTTTCGAAAATTCGTTCATTGTTTGATAGCATTTTACAGTTTAAACTCCGTTAAGACCTTTAAAGAATCCCATTGCTATCCCGTCTTCCCCAGCTACTTTTCCGTTTTTCATTCTCTTTAAACACTTTAAGAATTCTTCTGGTGAAATTTCTTTGTTCAGAATTTCTTCTGTCTCCTGCTTCTCTCTTTCGTCCTGAAAATTTTTCTCCTCATTTCTGCTTTCTATATTTTCTGCTTCTTCTTTGTTTCGTCTTTCGGTTCTGTCGTCATTTCCATCGCTATCTACTCCAGCCAACAATGATTCAAAGTGTCTCTTCCATCTTTTCTTTCCTATTCCTTGTCCATATTTTATCCTTCTTTGTGATCGAAAACTTTTTAGAGCTAACCAAAACTTACTCATGTTTTTACTATTTTCTACCGCTGTCCATTTCTTTTCGTTTTCTTCTTTCTTTTTCTTTTTATATAGTTTCTTCAGTTTTTTTTTCTGTTGACATATTTACTTTTTCTTCCTCTCCTTTAGTTTTTAAAAATTCTTTAAGACTGATCTATACTTTCCTTCTCTGTTCTTTACATTTATTGTCAAACCAACTGTCCTTAGTTTTTAAAACTGCTTCCTTTTTTTTGCTTAACTTGCTAGTCATTCCCACTCTTCTTGCAGCTTCCCAAATACATCCTTTTATTCTCTCCCATCTATCTTGTCACTCTTTTGGTTTTTCGGTCTCCTCCCATAATTTGTCCATTTCATCGTTGTATTCTTCTATTTTTTCCTCTTTCCATATTAATCTTTCTTCTTCTAATGTATTTGGCTCTGAAATTTTAAAACATTTAATTTTAGCATTAAGAATTGTTAGTCCGTTGGTTTCGCATAATTCTAATAGTTTTTTTCCTTCGTTGTTAACTAATTTGTCTTCCGACTTCTTGGCTATAGGTAACACAGCCCTTGCTTCTCCCTGTAAATATGAATCTTGATCTTCTTCTTCTAAGCTATTTTGTTATTTTCCGATTCTGGCGTTCCAGTCACCCATTAGTAACAAATACTCGTCCTCTGTTTTTACTTCTTCTATTAAATTTTCTAGAGCATTTTGAATATTCTTTATTTTAACATTATTATAAATTGAAACAAAATTTATTTTTCTGGTATTTAAGTTTAGATCCTTACCTTCCACTCTCAAACCAAATTCCCATTCGCTGATATTTACATTGTCTCTCCATTCTTTTTTTAACCCTATTAATTGTCCACCTTTTGCCCTACCTTTCTTTGACGATCTTATAGCGTGCTTTGCAAACCAAACATAATTTGGGTCCAAGCTTTTTTTGACTTTTTCCCAGGTATGCTCTTCCTGCCATGTTTCTTGGAATAGCACCAAATCAAAGAACGATGCTGAAAAATGGTCAAAATTTGCCCCCTAAGGGGATTGTAAAAGAAGTACATATATGTTTTTATTTTAATTTCATTTTGTAGTTCTCTCCCTGAATATATTTTTCTTCTTTCTCTTCTAATTCTTTTACTCTTTTATCGTGTTTTTGAAAGCTTCTCTCAATTTTCTTGCTTATCTTGTTTTCCCACCAGTTGTCTAAAGCTTTTATTAATTCTGATTGTAGCTTACTTTCTGTTCCACTCTGTACTAATACTTCACTCATTTTTTGTCACTCTTCTAAATCCCTTTCTGTTATAGTGCTATCTAACTCGTCACTAGCTTCTTCTTCATCTGTCTCTGAATCCTCCCCATTATTGTCAATGTTGTCACTGTTGTCGTTCTCGTTGTTTTTTTTTCTCTTTTTTTGAAATTCTTCTAATGTTTCTGATCCAACTTTTTCACTTACTTTGTTTTTATTTTTTCTTGGTCTGCCTCTTTTTTTCTGTTTAATTATTTCTACCATGACTTTCTTTTTTTATCTGATCTTTGTCAGCTTCGGATTGTTTGTTGACAATTTTAGTCCCTTTAGATTTTTGACTTCGAGTTTCTCTGTTGTAGTTAGAGATGGCGCCCTCATCTAGTTCCTGCATCTTCTGTTCGTCGTCGACGGTGATTACACCGGAAGTAACACCATTTTCCTTGACTGTTATCCT